AGTTTTACTCCTGAATATCGACTTTTCTTCGTAGCGTTTGGCATCCAGAGAGTGACTCCTCCAGGAGCAGCCACATTTACTGCATATCATCTTCTTCTGTTCGTTCCGGGTCATACAATGGCAGTGCTTGACGTCCCTTGGTTTGGAAATCGATGCGGGGTATTCGCAGGTGGTCCTACTGCACTCGTTGCAGTTGATAGCCTTCTCCTTCTCAAGTGGGATTTTCACTCTCTCCTCCGCGACATCCGCGACCTTTGTCACCTCCTCTCTCTTTTCTCTGAGGAGTCTGCATTCTTTCTGAAGAGCAGTTAAGCTGGATGCAGCTGTAAAGACAACGAAGGGAATGTCATCAACTGAAGAAGAAAGCAAATGGATCAAATCGCAATCAAGTAGCGAGACTCGTTTGCGCTGTCTCTTGGATCTCCTGCCAAAGTTATGGGAGATGTGGAGAGTGAAAGAAGGAACATGCCAGAAGATGTCAAAATATAATGTACTTGAAGCGACTGGCGTTAGGGAAAGATCAACGACCATGCACAGTACTATACCATCAGAACTAAATTTACTGTCAAATTTATTTTGTAGGAGGTATTGGATGAAGTTTGAGAACAAGAAATTTACATAACTTTGATCACAAGTGTGAGTTATGATTAGTATTTCTTTCCAAATTGAATCTTGAGAAGCCTTTCACGAATACCTCTTACGAAGCAACATGTGCACATCTGAAACCAGCACGAAGAGTCTCATTCACATCTACATCTATATTATGTATACTGCAAAGAAGTGACTTGAAAAAAAAATACTCCTAGGTCACTCGGAATTCTCCCACCTCTTGGGATTTGCTCCTGCAATTTTTTCAGGTTCTCAGCAAGAGCTCGTCTTTCAACAAGCACCTCCCTCGTCATGGCGAGGCCAACGGGCGTCATCTCGCCTAAAGATGCCAGGAAATTCTTGTTGCTATTGAGTCCCAAGTCCCAGAACATCTTTTGCATGGGATCCTTATTGCTAGCGAAGAGGGCGGAGTTGTTGAAAGGGTGATAGTCCTGATAGAACAGCTTCGCATTCTTCACGACGACGATGGCCGCTGGTTCCTGCCCGTCGCAGAAGCTGCAAAGCAGCACGAACTTTTCCTTCGTGTCGATGCCGAACATTTGGGTGCTGGCGTGAAAAATATACTTCTGCGAGGCCGTCAGCCTCGCAGTGGAAGCGGGCAGCACGAATCCCACGGCGTTCACGGTGTTCAAGCCATGTGGTTCGCATAGTTCGAAGAACTCCCGCATCTGTTGAAGAAAATAATTTTGCTCGGTGAATCTACAGTATATCTCTTTCATATGGGGATGCGAAGTGTGAGAGAAGTGTTAGATGATAGAGTCTTGAATTTCCAACTGAAACTGGCGCATTCCAGCATCATCGCAGGATGTGGATGAAACTCGTTTATTATTCTAGTTCTAAGAAAAACTGGCACTGGACAGTTTAATTCTTGGAGATGAAGACGGATAATTACTGCGAGAAATTCCTTGAATTCCCTATGCGACTTCGTGTCAGAGCCACAAATTTCTCGTTTCCTGCCCTTTCTTCGACAAAGCAACAGAATCGATTCATTCGCTTGTGGAGACGCATAACTACAAAATTATACACAATTACAAGGGAAACAATTTATATGCTTACCCCAACTTAATGGGGTCACAACTGGAGCAAGCTGAGAAGCACCTTTCAGAGTTCGAGCAACGGTGTTTATACCGAGCGCCTCGTGGCAGAGGTTCGCGATTCAG